GGTCAACCTCAGTGAGAAGCTGATGTCTCTCAGCGCCGATATTGCTTGTCGGGTTGCTTTTGGAAAAAGCTTCAGAGAAAGGGGATACGACGATTTGGGCGCGGATTTCGAAGAGGATATTCATGAAGCTTTTGCTATGTTGGGAAGCTTTGCGGCCGCCGATTTCTTCCCCTACTTCGGTTGGATTGTGGATAGAATCACCGGTCTCCATGGAAGACTCGAACGGAATTTTAAAAAACTGGATGCTTTCCTCCAGAAAGTCCTAGACGATCACCTCTGTTCCGCTCGCCTAATTACAGAGGAAGAACACGAAGATATCATCGACACTCTGCTAAAAATAGGGCAATATGAGACAGCATCCGGTACTAAAAAAATCACTCATAATCACATCAAAGCTATTCTTATGGTAAGCATGCTACTCGAACTTCCTCTGTTTTAACAATGTTTCTTCTTTTAAAAAGCTATTTTCAGCAATTACTCTTTAGGATTGAATGACTTCACAAGCAATTTTAAGAGGTTGAGGCCTAATAAGAAGAGTATTTATTCTGAAATTTTCAAACTAACCACCTTTGGATCTGTTACTGATCAGGAAATATTTCTTACCGGATCCGATACCGTTGCCATAAGCATGGCTTGGGCCATGGCGGAGCTGGCAAAGAACCCACGAGTGATGAAGAAAGCACAGGAAGAACTAAGAAACAGCGTTGGGAACAAAGGTAAAGTCTCAGAAACTGACATCGAAAAACTTGCGTATCTGAAGGCGGTGGTGAAGGAAAATTGGCGGCTGCATCCGCCTGTGACATTGCTGGCTCCGAGAGAAGCCATTACCCGATTCAACATCTCGGGCTACACCATTGACCGGAAGACCCGAATACAAGTAAATGTTTGGGCCATCGGGCGGGATCCAAATGTATGGGAAAACCCGCAAGAGTTCTACCCCGAACGGTTCTTGGATAGTCCATTTGATTTCAAGGGGCAGAATTATGAGTTTTTACCGTTCGGCAGTGGTCGTAGAATTTGTC